AGCACCCCATGAGAATTCAGGGTTAGAGTTTGAGAGATGCTATTAAACTGGCTGGTCGGTAGCACTGGAGTGTAAATGACCCTTCATCTGGCTCTTCACTCAAGTCGAATCCCAAACTATCTGACTAACATGCAAGAAACAGCTTGGGAGCTGTTGCCAAGGACAAAACGAAAAGTGACTGGTTGAAACCCAACAACACGGAAATAGCTGCCCGAGAGAGTGTAAAGAGGACTCAGAATCGTGATGAGGAGGTGCGGGCGCTAAAGGGAGATTTGTAAGCAAATACAAGTCTTGCTGCTCCCAGGACTAAAAAAAAAAAAAAAAGAGAGAAACAGCATACAAGAGAAAATCTTGGAATGCTCTGTTACACGGTAAGTCTGAGGTGGCCGCCTTACACACTCACATACACGTGCGTGGGGGGTGTGCACACACGCACGCATGATGCATATTTCTTATTGTGAGGTGTGGTCAAAGACCTCTGCTCTAAAGGGCAGGCATAAGGCCCAGAAACTGCCTGTCATTGTGAGTCAAGTGGCTTTGTGAACTCACCCGGATCCCGCCCTGCCTATCTGTGAACACTGGGGTGATTCGGTCAAAGTGGCAAGGACAAGCGAAGGTGAGAAAACTCAGAGACCAGCCCCGGGTGCAGTGACTGGCTCACGCAGAGCCTGGAGACCGAGGGGCAGACCGAGACACCGGAATATCAACACAGTGATGTGACGCGGTCACGGTGGGTTCCGTTCCCAGTGTGGCAACTGCAGCGGAGGCAGCGGCAAAGGACAGCGGGCTGTGTGTCTCCCGTGCACCGAAGCCTGTCTGCCCTTTACTCTCCTATCTCATTTGAATTTCACAGCAAAACTACGGGATGGCTATTAGTCTCACTGTCAGGAGGAGAACAAAGACTCCTGAGGACCGAATCAACATGCGAACAGGGAGAACTGTTTTATGAGAACTGTTCGTTGGGTGCTTTGAGAGGCAAAGTGAAGTACGGCGAATGGTCCCCTCTTGAGAAGTGTTAGTTGAGATAACAGAACTCACGAGAATCTTTGTGGAGTGAAGCATGTGACCTTCACTCAATTTCTCCCCAGCCGAAGACTGGCGGGGTGAAGAGAAGTAATAGAATTTCATTCTTTCTCATGGGCATAGAGAGGTACCGGACTGGAAGTCAACTCTTCCAGGGGGAATTTAAATTGAAAATTGCAATATCACGCCCACTTTTCGGTCAGTCAACACTCACTGCCCATGAACGCCATGCGAGCTGCTGCCAACTGCTGACTCATCTCTCACCGTGTGCGTGTCTTCCTGATACGTCATTCACGCACGCATCGTTTAGGCTTCAGAACTACCCTATGGAGAGGTACTGCTTTGGCGCCCATTCCCCAGACGAGGGAATGAAGGTGAGAGAGGGTAATGACGTGCCGAAGGTGAGACGGCTCATAAATGGGACGGCTGGGCTCTGAGTCCAGCTCCGTCAGCCTCAGTTTCCTGGTCTGTGATAAGGGCATAACACCCACATCAGAGGGCTGCTGGGAAGATTAAAGGCGCCCCAGTGCTTGGGAAAAGGAGGCAGCCACTGCTTTCCCCTCTACACACCCGACTAGGGTCAACTTTCCAGTAGAGCTAGCTTGCTTCTCCCCTTAACCTTACCGTTGAAGACCTCAGGAAGAACCCTACCTGCTGAGAGAAGCCCCTCACCACACGCCTTTGCTTGAGGTTTGTCTCTCCATCCAAATTGGCGGTCTCCAGGTGGCAGATCCCGCTGGGGTCCGAGGAAAAGAGGAGGAGTATGTCTGCTGGGATGACCTCGTTGCATCGCACTTGGATGAAGTCGCCCACACGTACATCCTTCCAGCACCTCTGCACATAGCTCTGCTCTTTTCTTGGGTGGGAGAAAGACAGGGGGTCAGAGTGAGTTCTAAGGTTCTCCAGAAAATTAGTGAGTGAATGTGGTAAGGTCCTACCTGCAACCATCTTCCAGTCAGCCTGCAATGAGACTGCTCTGCATCTTACCTGACCCCAAAGGACCACCACCATGATCTCTCTAGAAAGCTAAGCATGATCTATGGAATCCCACCAGTAAAAGATCTGCCCTTATGATTATTTAGAGTTTTGATTGATGGCCGGAGGCTGACTGGGTGCTGTGCTGTCCTCACTTCCTATCAGGAGGAAAAATTGAAAGGAGAAGGTGATTGACCACACAATTATATTAGCATGTGCTCTTAAAGTCTGCCATTTCGTTATCACCCCAGAAAGCGGGGCCACAAGGGACTGCAGTAGAGAAAAGATGGGGCGAGAGTGGCAGTAGGGGAGGTGAGGATATAGGTCTCTGTCTGCGAAGACCTGGAGAGGGGCTGAAGTAGAAAACTCTGGGCTCACAGAGAATTAAAAAGATGGCACCAGGAACTTTGACAGGATGGAACCCACAGTAATGACAAAATCAGAGGGCTGAAGGAATCTGAGGAAATTATGCACTTTCTCTTCCCATCCAATTTATCAAGCTCAGACAATCACAGTGGCAACAACATTGGCAAATTTAGCATTATGACCATGCCAAGCACTAGTGTTAATTAATACTTCATGTACTTGTATAATAACCCACAGGAGGAGATATTATTATGAAGAATTGAGGGTGCAGGAAAGATTTTCTGAGGCCTTACGAAACAGAGCTGGGGCCTGAGCCTGGGTCCAACTTGACACCAAATCACACAGTTTCCACTGCTTGGATCTCATCCTCCCTCCTCCATTTTTCCACTGCCAGCAAAAGGACCCGCCACCACCCAAGGCTGTGTGTCGCATTTCAAGGAGCTCCTCCTGCTCAGCCAAACATTGAACTAGTTCTGCTCTCCCAGTCAACAGGACCTATTCTACCCTCTACCATTTTCATAATAACTTAAGGCACTCCTCGGGTGTTCTATGAAGACTTTTAGACATGCCAAGTCAAATTTAACTTTCCAGGTGCCCTCAATTTTTCTTGTGTGACAGTTTCAAAATCTCTCCTGGAGATGTGTGGGCTCTTCTGTCTCAGGCTGAGTTTAGAAATGTCCCTCTTTAAATGTGAGATGTAGAACCAAACCAATATCCCACATAGGGTCTTTTAACTGAGCCCAGCTGGCAGCAGGGGGCCTCTAAGTCCAGCCAGGCCTGGAGAGGTAGCTTTTACTGGTCTTCTCTGCTGATGCTGAGCGCCTCTGGGCATGTCATGGCTTCTGTTTCTGCCAGAATCTGGGCTGCCCTGGGTATGACAAGCCCACTCTTCCACAGAAAAAGAGGCATGGCTGGAATTTTCCCTTTCTCCTTTGACTTCATAGATTTCCCTGAGGAGGATAAGGGAGTTGATACCTCCCTTCTTTGGGACCCTCTAGAGCAAGGGTCCCCAATCCCCAGGCTGCAGACTGGTACCGGTCCATGGCCTGTTAGGAACCAGGCTGCACAGCAGAAGGTGAGCAGCGGGCGAGTGAGTGAAGTTTCATCTGTATTTGCAGCCGCTCCCCAGTGCTAGCATCACTGCCTCGGCTCCACCTCAGATCATCAGGCATTGGATTCTCATAGAAGAACCGGTCCCTGGTGCCAAAAAAGGTTGGGTACTGCTGCTTTAGAGAACCCCAAGCAAGCCCTCCTCAGACCCCATTTTCCTTGTCATAAAAGACGCTTGCAGAGGACTCTCCCAGTCCCCTGAAATGAATGTGCTTGCCTTTGGAAGGCCAAGGGGAGGTCAGATTAGAGTCTGTAAAATGATCAAGGGCCTTGGAATTAGAGAGCAGCCTTGCAATTCTAAAGACCCACTGACTCCTATGGAAGTGCCTGTGGTTCTGGAATGCTCTGGCTAAATCGAGTCATGGGCAATATCATTCCATTGGCCACTGAGACCACTTTTGAGGACTGGGGGCAATGCGTCTCTAGCCTTTTAGTAATAATTCTTCTTTTCAGGGAGAAGCATGTCACAGATATTTAAGCACTTTTCATTTCGTCAGCTATTTTTATGCTTCCTCTCTGCCCAACATCACTTTTTTTTCTCCCCCGTGAAGAACAGTGACGGTCCCCCAAGATTTATTCCTCAGTGTCATTTCAGAAATACATGTTTCTGTTTATTGATGAATTTAGGGTGGATACTCCATCAGGAGTGTCAATGTTACTATCAAATCATTCATGCTCTCTCCCTGATTCAGAGAAAGAGGAGTCTTTTTCTTTAGAGCACCCCTGGGAACACCTGTTAAATGTCTGAGTATAGGCTACTTAAAGGAACTGGAATGGATCATACTTTCTATGGGAAATCTCACAGGGTAAAGGAGTGACTGGCTTTCTCTATTGCTTTTTCTCTCTCCCTTTATGAGAGCATGCTTTTTTTTTTCTTTTTAAAGAATCCTTAAATATTGCAGCAAAATTGCTCCAAGGAACAAAGGATTATCACTCAACTTGTCTATGTTCTTTTCCACCTACCCCTTTGACATCTGTGTCCTATCGGATAATGCCTTTGGGGATGGTGGGGTATCAGTTATTGCCATAATCTCAGTATTCCACATGGTATTTGAGACAGGATTTAATGAGAGCATCTTTGACTCTGAGCAATATCCCAACTGCCAACACGTCCACAGCACGTCTCCCTTTAGAGAGCATGCTTTTTTTTTTCTTTTTAAAGAATCCTTAAATATTGCAGCAAAATTGCTCCAAGGAACAAAGGATTATCACTCAACTTGTCTATGTTCTTTTCCACCTACCCCTTTGACATCTGTGTCCTATCGGATAATGCCTTTGGGGATGGTGGGGTATCAGTTATTGCCATAATCTCAGTATTCCACATGGTATTTGAGACAGGATTTAATGAGAGCATCTTTGACTCTGAGCAATATCCCAACTGCCAACACGTCCACAGCACGCTAGTCAAGGTTTGCAAATGCTAGCTGCACACGCAGGCACGTCAAGGGCGGGGCCAAAGCGTCTCCACCCATGAACATCAGACCTCATTCTTCCCTTTTCTACTAAAGGGCTTCACTGCTTAGGATGGGATGTGGGTAACTAAGGGGACAGAAGATGGAGAGTTACGGAGATGAGCTTATGGTATATACATCTTTATGAACGGTCACTTCCATGAATTGGGCTGGAGTGTTGTCTTGTCAATTCGCATTATGATAACAGGTATCACAAGGTTGATGGAGCCACTTAAGAAGCTGTAAGTCAGAGCAGTCTTTGTCTTCTACTTTTCCTTGGATCCCAGGGAGGTCACTGCTTTGCTGGTAACAACCGTCTCTGCCTTTCCTATAGATGTAATTCTCTCTTCTTTAGGATGGCATGTGGTGGTGAGGACACTTCTCAGTCCCTGTTGTAGGCTTACCCTCCCCAGGACAGGGTTGCCCACATCCGGGGGTGTGCTTCCCCAACAGGGCACACATACCTCCAGGCACACGTCCTGTCGTGTGTGTCTGAGGGTGCTGAAGCTATGGGATCAACATGATTTTGGGGTGTTCGTTTAAAAAAAGTATGTTTTAGTAATTTAGCTGGCATATAACTTAAATAGTTATATTTATATTAACCCAAATATAGTCATGTTATGGAATAAGAATCAAAAATCATAGGAACTTTAGGAGTAAAAAAGGTGACATCAGGGACATTTCCTTCTTGCGCTGGGGCCACGTTGTGCTGGTTTCCTGGCCTGCTGGGTCCACCTTGTCTCCTCAACAGTCATGAACCTGAGTGGAAAAGGCAAAGACCCACAGCCCTTGGGGATCCAGCCCAAGGAGGTGACGAGTGGCCAAATCCAGAATACAGGTGACATGGAAAAGTGGCGTGCTCCCGCAGTGAGTGATGCCTAGACATGGCCAGAAGCGGGCTGGGCGCAGCCTGAGGACACCGTTCCCTTGTTAATCTAGCCTGTTTGGAACGGCGGCCCCAGGTGGACGTGTCCACATGCTCTTGATCATCTCCTTGCTCAGTGAGTCCACACCTGGGAATGGACTGCTATTTTAGTTTCATGGAATGTTCACTGCTGTTCAAAAAATATGACAAATCAGTGTGGTTTGGGACAAAGACGCCATCTGTCAGCTTCCGCCTCCCGGAGAAATTAAGTGGTGCCATGTTAGACAGCTGAGAGGAGATAGGGCTTATTAAGAGGTAAATAAAGAGTAAGAGAGGGTTGTAACCGACCAGATGCCGAGAGGAAGCAGGTAAAAGCCAGGGGGTGGAAGGGGGGAGGAGAGAATGCTTAAGGCTTCATTTCTCAAGTCTGTGGGTTTCATAAGGAGGGTTTCAAGGAACTGGAGTAGAGGTGGTCCCTCTACCAGGACATCCTGCTCAAAGCAGGATGATGCGCTTACCTGGGCTGTCCTTCAGGAAGCCTGAAGGTCAGGCCCAGAATGGTCGTGTTACCCAGGGGTGGAAGGGGAAAGCCAGGTAGAATGAGTGCTGTGTAGGGGTTAAAAGTGGGTTTGAGTCCCGGCTTCACTGCTTACTCCCTGCGTGAAACTTGAACAAGGTACTTAACCTCTCAGTACCTATATTTTCAGTGGATGGTAATATGTGCTTTTGCCTCAGAAGGACTGGTGACATGATACAAAGGACTGAGCTCAGGGCTTTGCACTTAGCGCTCAATAAAGATAAGATGATTTTATGATGAAGATAAGATGATTTTATGATGAAGGTTATGATGAGGACGACTGTTAGTGTTATGGTGAGAGCTAAGCACTATTATTCCAGCTCTGGTATGGCATTCTTTGTGCTATGGGAAACTGTGATTATGACTGTGATTACTTTTCATGGCTTAGGTCCAGGTACACAATGTGCAAACACACAAAAAATCTCTAAAAATCCAAAGCTTTTATCCAAGCCCAGAAATGAGGAACCCAAACTTAGTAGACTTAGGGCTCTGGACGCTGACTACTGGGACAA